AAATTATCATAAGGTATATCATAAATTTGTACAATTAAAATGATTTTTTAAAGAAAGAGTTTTCTATTGTTACCAAAATTTCTTAACATTACCATTAGAAATAAAGAGAGAGTATTACTCTATTACATTTTTCCTCATGTATAGTTAAGTATGCTCCTTTGTGCTGAAATTCCATGAAAGTAATCACAGATTTTCTTAATCTTTGTCATGGAGTTTATTACTATAAAGTGAATATTTATCTTCTTCTTGGATGGAATAGGAACATCATTGCAATATTTATATTTGTTATGACTATGCATAAGTGTGCACAGATGATTTTGTAATTCTTTTTCTTTTTTTAACATTTTTGCATCAAATACTTATTGATCTTATACTTTTTCCCAGACAAATTCTAGACATTGCAAATATAATAGTGAATGAACAAGTTTACTTAAGAAAGAGAGAGGTGAGAGAAAGAGAATGCCCAAGTGAAGAAATATAGTGACCTATCAAGTAGAACCTCCTAGAATAGAGGTAGCTATTGAGTTCCACAGGAATGTTGGATGAAGAACAATATCAAGATAATCTTCCTCAAAGAAATAATGGCTAGAATGAAGCATAACAACAAAGGAGGGGAAGAAGGAGGAGAAGACAAAGGAAAATGATAAGGGAGCAGAGAAAGCATCTTATTTTCTAATGAAACTTAACGTAAGTTGCAAATTGAAAACTAACTCATCCTTGGTAGTTTGTGACTACCTGAATTACCTACTCCTAGTGAAACAGAATTTAAGGTATTTATAAGGAGGCAAGAGCATGTTTGACCATTTGACTGCAGTGTCTCAAATAAAGGCCTCTTATTTTAGAGTAAGATCTCTTTCAAAGACTACTAGAATTCTCATTTTCCCAAAGATTTTTATTCCAAATCATCTTTAGTGATAGTAAAAGACCAAAGGAATGCATTCTTCATGCTCTTGCTTAAATTTAAGCAAGCAACAACATAAATATGGTTGATTTGCTTCCTATCTGGTAGTAGAGTTAACTCAAATTACATTAAGATAGCAAAAATCCTTCCCCTCCATATTGACCTTATGAAAGTTCACGACCATCTTTTCCTTTCAAAGCATAGCAGGTATCAGTGACAATCAATCAGAGTTGAGTTAGATGGGATAGTACCTATATAAAAATATGTATATATATATATACCTATATACATATATATATATGTATATAGTATTTGACATATGATGATTTTGATAGTTTTTTAGACAATGTAACCATGATTAGTTGTGTGTGGGACTTGGTGGGAAGGTAGTGATTACAGTTTACCATTTTGTTCTTTTCAACAATAATTACTTGTTTATTATTTCTATTCAGTATTTAAGTACCAACAAATGCATATAGATTTCTAAAATAAACTCGGAATGATTTTAACAAGTTGAAACATGATTTCATTTTTCTTTCACAGTAAGCTATAGATGCTAATGGTGGTTTTAAAGGATAAACTAATTTTCAAACAAAAATTATTTGTACAATGCATTTATAAACAGATTCATATTGTTCAAAGTCCAATCAGTATTTTTTTTTTAAAGGAAATGGGAACACTTGTGTTCTTTAAGGTCAGGAGCTGAATTTCGAATATTAGTTTGACCACTATCTGCAGGTCAAGAGACCCTGATCAAATACCATAATAAAACATTAATCTTTACTGAGTACATTAATTTATCCAACCATCTAGTTAGAACAGTCTTTTTAAAGAACAATGGGTAGAGCCTTGCCATCTTAATCCTCTTTATCTGAGTCAAGTTGTATAATTGTTTGTTTTATACCTTTGGCACAACAGTTTTATATGTTTAAGCTTTCAAAGATCATTGTAATGTTTCCTAAATCATGGTTAATCATCAAAGCTCTTTTGGCCAATATTTACATTTGTTAAAAGTTAAATGTGAAAACAATACTATGTGAACTTGAGTACAATATTTACTTTTTAGGTCTGTCCTTTTAACATTAGATGATGTCTACAGTAATTTAATCAGAGGATGAATAATTCTGGCCATTGTTGAGGTTTTGTATATAAGAAGTAAATGTAGCACTAACCAAAATAAGCATCTAGAGAAACATATTCCTGTTTCTGAGGAGACTGTAAGTACAACTTCTGCTGAACAAACTTACTTGAATTCTTAGATTCATTTTTTTCAACTCAACTGTTGCATCTTTAAAGGTTTAGTTATATAGTCACCTATATAAATGTGTCTATTTGTCATAGCTTATTCCTGTAGGATTTGATTTACTTTTTGTTCTCTTTTTGTACATTTCATATTTGTATTCTTTTTAATCATTGAATGATAAATTTATTTATTAATGTAAGGAGTGCTTAATGTGGAAACTTATTCTTTCTGATTCTCCCTTGTGAGGAGCCCTAGGCCAGTCCTCTAACATCATATGCACTGCCATTATTGATAAGCTACGTTGAGTAGTTAAATGCCATCTAAATCAACTGCTATCAAACTAACCATTGTTCATAACATTGGTAAGGCTGGGGGAATAGTGGTACATGCCTGTAATCACATCTACTCAGGAGGTGGAATCTTAAAATAACTTTTAAAAGTAACATTATTATACTTCACAGGCTGCCAATGTATTTCTTCACATTGTCAGCAGCTCAAAACGAAGTTTTGATCACATTACGAGTCTCTTTGAGGGTGTCCCCAAGTGGTTTCTTACAGAAGTTGGCTTAAGGTCTTGCTAAAGAACTATAATGAGAACATAATTTTTGAACCGCCTAGTTTTAAATTTAGGCTTACATGCTTTCTACATACTGATTGGATCTTGCTTTGCCAATCTGCAATGTGGGGAACGCAGTGCTAACTACTTACTAGGGTTGTTATGAGACTGAAGGAGATGATAGCAACAATAACTATGTACATCCAATGTTTACTAGAGGCCTGACATGTTAAAAACTTTACTTTTCTTATCATACCGAATGCTTATAACACCAAGAAATGCAGTCTTGCTAGCTCTATTTTATAAAAAAGAAAACTTTCAGTGAAGTGAATTCATTTACAAGTGTCACATGTTGAGTACGCTAACACACAGCGAACCCTTTGTGGATGTTAGTGAGATTATCTTAGAGCCTGGAATCTAGATTTTTGAGAAATTTGTCTTGTTGTGAACATTCCTGATCCCATGATGTTAACTTGGGAGTTGGAATGTCCTAACTCAAATCATAGGTTAAGTGCCCTCATGCTACAGTAATAAATTGATTAATGGAGCCAGTATAGGTTATAAAATTGGAAGTTCCTGAAAAGTTTGATCAGAACTTCCTGACATGAATGTTAAAACACTGCTAGTTAGTTAGTTTTTATATACTAGCTTGTTCTTTCCTAAAATTTCATTCTGAAGACAAGGTTTAATTAAAACGCACTTTAAGAGACACCATTACTAAATAAATACACTAAATAAGTGGTCAAACCATTAGATCAGATATTCATATTTAGACTTTAAGACTTCTAGTCTGGCTTTATTATAGAGAAGGATCAAGACTAAGTGCTCTGCATGCATTATGGGTAAATGGTCTTCACTGAAATATTACCAGTCACAGTGAACTCACACTTTATCAAATAAACTCATTTTAATTTAACAATGTACACCTTAGAAATTCTTCACTCCATACAATTAAGTTTTGTCTGCATGTGACCTCCAAATATTGCTTCAAACATGCAGCAGTTTCTTAATAAATAACTATTGAATGGCATCAGACATAATAAAAAATTATTTGATTTAAATCACCCTCCCCAACACATCCCTTCAAATATATATCAGTGTTCTCTCAAGGCTTTTCACAAGCTTAACATCTGAAGATTCCCAATGTTATTATTGGTGATTACAACACAGAAGTAACTTTAGATGTTTGGAGTCTAATATCAAATATTACCTGTAGTTAAAAAGAAGCAACAATTACAACCACATGATCAGAAAGACAGAGTCCTATTGAAATTTTCCTTTGAAAAAGGAAAGTTTATAAATTGAGATTTTAATCAAAATGTAAAAACTCTAAAGAGCTAGAATCTACTCAGCTATTATGAGAGATTAGATCTAATAGGATTATAAATTGGGCTATTTTTAATCTAAAAAATTTCATGCACTTTATGACAAGCACATTTTATCACTAGTCTATTTTGCTCTTGGCTTGTATTGCTTTACAACTAAAAAAAGCCTAACAATTTTGAGGAGAAATTATGTGAAAGACTGATCATCTAGATAGTTACAGTAATTCAGTCCACTTGAAGTTGTTGTTATTTAAGATGTGGGTTACTATTTCTCACTTGTAATATAAGAGGGTTGAATTAGAAAACCCCTTGTATCTTTTTCAAATAATGATACTGATTTTCCTTTTTAAAAGATATCAAACCATATAATATACAGCTGATTTATAATTTTCAGGGCCTGCTTAAGTATTTTTAATGACATATCTCAGCAGAAAATTAGAAAAGCAATAACTTTCCTAAAATTATATTCACATATCACTCTAATTATGGTAGCATTTTGACAAGATGACAGCAGCTTTTAAATCCATATAATGACTTTAGATGAATAAATAATTACAAGGTGGCTATTATAAATGATATTTTTAAACAATAGGATAACTTGAGTGCACATTATATTGAGGTTGGATCTAGAGGTGTCAAATACCCATGCAACCCTCACTCCCATTTTGACTCTCAAAACAGGATGGCAAAAATCCTAAACATAATGCATAACAAGAATATGATGTTTTGCCTGACAGTTGGATGTTGTTTTCACCAATTAAGATTCCTTCAATAAGTCTCAAAAACTCAAGCAGGAAGTGTTCTTATACAAAAGGAATCAGACTTTGTGCTGACAGCCACATGCCCCAGGATATTGCCCAAACTCACTCAATTCTCTACTTTGTATGCAAGCAAAATTCTCACATAATATGACTATTATGAAAGTGTAATGGATTAACCCATGGCACCAATTATTCTTTTGTTTCAGGCCAGTCCAAAATGTGGTTGCTGTTAACAGTGGTGAGTTTGATATCTGCACTTGGAACTACACATGGTTTCCTGGGAAAAATAGCACCTGAAAGCCCTGAAGCCAACATGAATATTGTAAGTTCCTGGCAGAGAAGAGGGAGATGTATAAAACTAAGAAATGTTACTACGATTAGACCTATAGTAGGCTTAAACTTCTGAGTGACTAATTAAAAATAATTAACAATACCCACTAATTAGATGCATTTTAAAAGTAAACAAAAGAGTCTGGTGTGGAACATTTAGCAATGCGGTCTAATGACAGGAAGTTGCACATGTTTGTGCCCTGACAGCCTAGTGGTCTTTTAGTGTCTGCGAAATTTGGTTTTTTGCATGGCATAAGAGCTCACAGCAGGCTGTGCATCTTCCTCACCTGGCCTCGCCCTGTTGGTGCTGTTTGAAATGTCTGTTAGCTATGCCACCCTAAGAATTCTAAATGAGAAGAAACTTAACAAAGTTGATAGTCATGGGAATAATTTGAAACTACAGAGAAAGAAAAGTAAAGCAAAACATTATGAGATTTCAGGATATAGTGAAAGCATTAGAGGGCTGGTTTTCCCACATGTGATAAGAGGTGAGAAGTGGTTAAACTGATCTGGTGGAAATCAAAAACATATTGCTGAAGCTCAGTTCAGTGACAGCTATTCTATAAGGAAGCAAGCATTCACAGCTCTGATACAGGGTAAAATCAACAAGCAGCTGAAGAAAGTTCTGAGGAAAATAGTAAAAATGAAACCACAGACCTTTGGCTATAACTGATGTTAATTTAAGAACAATCATAAAGGAAAAACTGAATCTCAGTTGTATGAACTGAGAGAGGAATGAACTTATGAGAGGAATCCATTCACAAATGGATGGATTATTCCCTGGAGTAGAACCATATAGAATGGCAACCATATGTCTTAGATTGACCCACAGCCTGCCTATCTGAAAACAGATTGAAATTTAGTATTGACAAAGAAAACAAAATAATTGTTCAGGCAATTGTGTTGTCATAGAACTTAGATAAAGAACTGAACAATTCCATTATGTGATGTAAAGAGTGGTGTGCCTGGCACTTTTTTGAATTAGGAAAAATTATTTTACATACTGCAAGTATTTACAGAAAGTTGATGATAGGAAGAACTATGCCTGTGCCACAGTTTCTGAATTGTGACCAGAGGGAGTAGAAGCCAAAGTGAAAGCAGCCACAAGGATATCTGGGAATAGATGCTCCTGAAGAAGACAGATTCAACATTCTGCATCTATGCACCAAAGTGATGGAAATCTTTAGATTAGAACCCAGCTGTATGAATATTTACAAAATGTAATGATGGGTAATACATTCAATGTCACAGTCATGGTTGGGGAATCAGTTGCAGCATGACTTATCACTCAGACAGTGTCTGTTTTGAAGTTGTCCAAGTATGCAGCTTCTATAGTTCAGATTCCTAGAGCAGAAAAGTCACTCTTGAAGGCCCTCATATCTAGAAGTGATGCCTATGGTCTCATTTATCATGCTTCACTTGCAAGCCAGAGAATTCCAAGCACAAATGCATGATTTCTAGTATGCTGGCACCCAAAACTGTTTTCAGTATAAACTAGAATACTTTCGGTGAGGTTTCCAGCGCTGCAATGGGAGTTGAGAACAAAGCCACATTAGAGGCCAGGTTGAGAACCTAGAGGACAGACGACCGGAAAAATAAGTAGAAAGCAAATTCATGGCAGTGAATGGAGACTCATGATCTCTTTGGGGATTCCTTGCTTCAAACATACTCTGAAAACTGCAAAATAGAAGAAGATGAAATTGATGGAAAGAAAGCAGAATGTCAAAATTAACATTAAAGCTGAAGAAGAGGAAGAAGGAAAAAGGGTCCTGGTAGTGGAAGAAGAAAAGAAGGAGAAGGAAAAGGATAAGAAGAAATACTTTTAAAAAGAATCATGCACCAGCACAGCAATTCCTAGCCCAGAGAAAAAACAACAACAACAAAAAATTTCCATTTTTACAAGGTCAATTCTGTTAGCCTTATTATTGTCATTATTTCTTATAGTGTTTGATATACAAATAAAACTATTTTCTTTGTAAAAATATCAATGAAAACTTAAAATTTTGGGTTTACCTTATCAGAGTCAGATGATTAACTACTGGGGATATCCAAGTGAAGAATATGACGTTGTGACTGAAGATGGTTACATCCTTGGGATCTACAGAATTCCTTATGGAAGGAAAAATTCAGAGAATATAGGTATAACCTTCTTCTCTTCCTTCATTTTCCCCTTTCCTTTCTTGCCTCTTCCCTTCCCCTTTCCCTTCTCACATCCCTCTCCCTTTCCTTCTTTTTGTTCTCCTTTCATTTCTTCTTAATGATTTCATAATAGTTGCTAATTCTCAAAATGCAGCAACTAAGTAGTATTTCCAATCTTCATGGAAATCACTATCTGTCAATCGGAGAGATAAATAAACAAATGATTACAAAATGTGATGTCACTATTATGCACAGGCTATTAAACTGGATGCTCTATTAAAGGCACCTAGCCCAGCTAAGGAAAGTTGCTCTTCTATGTAGTAACTGAATTAAGCCCTAGGGGACCAAGAAGAGTTAGCTAGGGTGTGATGCATAGGGAAAGATGGGGAGGCAATTTAAGGTCAATTTCTCAAACAGATAAAGGCCATATTATGCTATTAAATTTTTACCTTTTTCTCATTGTAGGAAAAACTATGAAGTAAAAACAGAATAAAAATTTAAAAGATTACCCAAAACTTTACTACTCATACTCTACCTATGTTAACATAGTGCTGAATTCTCTTAGGATACAATTTAATAGCTTCATTGAGGTATAATTAGCATACAAAACATTGCCCATATTTAAAGAGAAAAATTTGATGAATTTTGGTGCCTGAGAAGAGAAAATTAGGATAAATAAGATACTCAAGTTTAGTCAACTTAATTCAGTAAATGTATGTAATTCTAGTGACATGTTTATATTAGAATAAGGAATAAGTTTATAAAGTTTTAAAACATTTTTCTTCTTTAGGCAGAAGACCCGTGGTGTTTTTACAGCATGGATTGCTTGCATCAGCCACAAACTGGATTGCAAATCTGCCCAACAACAGCCTGGCCTTCATTCTGGCAGATGCTGGTTACGACGTGTGGCTGGGGAACAGCAGGGGAAACACCTGGTCCAGGAGAAATTTGTACTTTTCACCAGACTCAGTTGAATTCTGGGCTTTCAGGTAAAGAAAGGGATAATAAAAAGTGGGGAGCTAAAAATAAACATTGAGCTTTAAAAGATAGATATGTAGACAATCCCCCTTTTCAATCTAGTCCTATCTTAAAACAAATTAAACTTCAAGTTAGAGGTAAAGAAAGTTATCTTTATTTATTCCAATCCCTTCTTGTATTATTCATATACCTCATTTCAAGAATAATTTTTCCTTCAACTTTTCTGTGATCTCAGTACCCACTATGAGGTGATCCTTGCATATGGTTTTCCAAATGGAATGAACAATGTGGCTGAAGCAAGGAAATTCACCATCCCTATAAAATTCTAAAGAAAGCACCCATATGGTTCAGGCAGATGTTAAAACCCAGTTGGGGCTGGAAGAACAGCATCCTGTATTATTACCAAAAAACAAAACTCAGATACCATGGACAGATTATAAAGGTTTGCTATCACTGACCTTCTTGTGTCTTTTTCCTGGAAATTATTGATGGAGACAGAGAACAGAGGGATATTTGACCTCTGATTGTTGGGTCTCAAAAGTACTCTGAATGTTTCTAGGTGCTAGGAAATTCATATGTCTTAGTGTAGTGAGGAAGGGGAAAGTGACATAAGAGGAGTTTAAGGATGCTGACAAAAGCCGGATCAGGCAGTGGTAAGGGCATTGGAACTCATTCTAAGTGCGATGAGAAGCCACTGAAAAAAGTTAAACAGAGGACTTTTCATTTTCAAAATATCATTCTGGATGATTTGTGAAGAATAAAATAGAGAGAGGTAGGATTCACATTAAATTGTACTGGAATGTGGGATGTAAATGCTTGTTAAAGCTGATATTTGATTTCAGGGATGGAAATAATTATCACCTATAACTAACGTTTTTTTGTTTGTTTTAGCAGTATTGGAGTTTGAACTCAGTTTTGCACTTGCTAGCCAGGTGCTCTACAGCTTGAGGCATGCTCCCAGCTCTATTTTACTGTACTTACTTTTCAGATAAGATTTCATGTTTTTGTCCAGGACTGGCCTTAGACCCTGATCCTCCTACCTGTGGCCTCCTATGTAGCCGAAAGCCTGGAATGTGCCACCATGCCCAGTGTGTTGTTTGAAATTGTATCTAACTTTTTGCTCATGGTTGACCTGGAACCAAGATCCTCCTAATCTCTGTCTACTACTAACTAGCTGGTATTACAGGTGTAAACCACCATGCCCAGCCATTCATTGCTAAAGGCTTATAAGAATCAATGTTTATAAAATCTAGTTTTCTATTTTTCAAATAAAAATTGTGCATTAGCTATAAATATGAGTGAATTTTAGAAACTATAGCAAGAAAATGTATTCAGTTTTGTTTCCTTTTTCATGCAGTTTTGATGAAATGGCTAAATATGACCTTCCAGCCACAGTCGAATTCATTGTAAGGAAGACTGGACAGGAGGAGATAAGCTATGTTGGTCATTCTCAGGGAACCACTATCGGTAAGCAAAGGCACTGGGACAAGGCAGTTTAGATCACTTCCCAGTAGTTAGGGCAGCATAACCAAATTAGCTATTTTTTCCATTCATTATAAAATGTAATGCCTTTAACAATTCTGTGATATAAGTATAGTTATACACATTATAGAGATGGGTAAATGAAATAGTGGAGATAAATAATTTTTGCAAGGTAATATGGGTATTTCCAATAGATTAATAGGGTGACTCAGATACCACCTCAGGGAATCTGACTCTTAAATCTGTACCTTACAATTCAGGGCTGAATTTTTGGCCATTCAACCATATTTATGAAAAATGGACTTAAGACATGTCTAAAGAAAACAATAATAAGGTAGGCACTGGTGGCCTATCATCTTAGCTACTTATGAGGCTGATATCGGGAGGATTGTGGATCAAGGCCAGTTTAGGCAAAAAGTTTGAGAGATTCCACATCAACAAAAAAAGCTAGATAGACACATTTTTACTTATTAAAACATATTTATTTATTTAAAACATATTTTATTTATTTTTATAGCTATATTTTTCATATAGATATATTTTTCAATAAAAAAAGATGAGGCACACCTGCCATTCCAGTGATGGTGGGAAGCGTAAAATACAAGGGTCATGATTAAGGTAGCCAAACAAAAAGCGAGACCCTGTCTCCAGAATAACCTGAGCAAAGCGCTGGAAGTGTGGTTCAAGTGATGGAGTGCATGCCTGGCAAGTATGAAGTCCTGAGTCAAACCCCAGTAGCCCCAAATTTTAAATAAAAATATGACAACAAATAAAATAGATTAAAATCTCTAGCTTTGTTCCACATACATTCTAATGGAAGATGGAGAAAACAATGATTAAAAAGTAGAATACAAAATGTACTAAAGAATAGTAATGCTGGCTGGGTGCCAGTGGCTCACATCTGTAATCCTATCTACTCAGGAAGCAAAGATCAGGAGGATTATGGTTCAAAGCCAGGCCAGGCAAATAGTTTACAAAACCTACTACTCTAAGAATGGGCAGAGGGAGGGATAAAGGAGAATGATAGAGGGGATGAATTTAACCAAAATACATTGTAAGAACTTTTATAAATGTCACAAGTTACCCCCAGTACAAAAATAATATGATAATAAAAAATAAAAATATAAAGAAGAAAGGACTAGGAGTTAATAATAATAATGGTGACAGTGGGATAAGGAAAGACGGAAGAATTTGTTGTTCTGGAAGCCAAAGAGGGACAGTGTTTTAAGAAAAATATGGTTAACTGTGGAAAAGGCTATTAATAAGCTAAGTGAAATGAAGACTAAAGACAAAACTTTAGAATTAGTCTAGTAGGTATAGGGAACTTGTGTTAGAGTAAAACTACTCCACTTTGGTGGAGTAGTTGAAATGAAAGGTATAATCAAGTGAGTTCTAGAGAGCATGAGAGATGAGCTAAAATCCCAGCATTGGAGAAGTGGAGGAGAGGATCTGAGCTGTAAAGCAGGAAATAGGGTGAAAGTAGGAGGGTAAAATGGAAGAGGATACAGGAGAAATCGTGGCACATTTTTATTCTCACAATCACTTTAAGTTGATAACCTTCCTTCATTTCACAATTCTAAGTCAAGAGAAGTGTAGAACTGCCTAATGCCCATGTCATTGTCATGTCAGGTTCTTAAGAAAATGAGGATAACCACTTAGGATGTTTCTTAGAGGAAAACTTTTAGAGAAAAGGGCAAATAAGACTGTCAGGAGGGAAAGGAAGGGCTGCAAAGTAGTTCCACAAAGGCCTCAGTTGACCCTATACAATATGGCTCTTTTCAGAGTCTTCCTAGTCAGGCTGGGGGCTTGTCTTTTGACCTTTTTCTTGACCCATCATTAGATGCAGGATGCATCAGGAAGAGAGTATATATTTTTGGTAGAAGCAGTTCCTTTTTTAGCAGGAGCAATAACAGAGAGGGCTCACACCATAGGGCCTTTGACCACAATCTTCCCTGCAACTGGTGTTGAGTCCCTGCCTCAGACTCAAAGAGCAATTTGAGGAACACAGTATTAATGACACCTGGTCAACACTGACTCAAAATCCTTTCTTAAAAAGTGGAAAACGTTCTAGGTTATTCAAATTTAATTCTTCAGCTCCCAAACTGTACAAAACTATTAGCATTTTTAATGGAAACCTATATAAACCTAAGAGAAACTCTTTGACTCTTTTAATGGCATGTATTTAATATAGTTTAACATTTTTTGATGACCTAATATTATGAAATTGTTGCATTGAGGTGTAGTGCAAAAGTTTCCTTAGAACCTGTTAAGGTGAGTAGAACTGCTTGTCCTGATACCAAATAACCACAATCTACTATTCTTTTGACTTACTGAATTTTGAACATTTCAATTTTTTTACTAGTGAACATTTTAAAATTGTTATCAGTATGCTTATAAATATCCGTGCTAGCAGAAGTGTTGATTTCAAACTTGTTTCAGATTCCACCTTTAGTAAGTCCCAAATATTGTTGTAAAAACAAAACAACCCCCCACCACACACACACATGCCCCTTCTTCTCTGGTTTCTTTTTCTATTTCAGGTTTTATTGCCTTTTCTACCATTCCTACACTGGCAAAAAGAGTCAAAACTTTTTATGCATTAGCTCCAGTTGCCACTGTGAAGTATACAACAAGCCTTTTAAAAAAAGTTTCATATATTCCTACATCTCTCTTTAAGGTATGTGGTTCTCTTTAGTTAACTGAATCTGAGGTACCCAATTGCCCATGGATTTCAACATGATGGAAAGAAAACAAATTAAACTGAACAAACACATCTATAACCCAAACTGGAACTGTACATGTTTATATACTTCTTCCATAGCACTAACAATGTTTGAATCCTCTCTAGCCTATGAGATCCCTGTTTACTTCTTTATTATTGATTAGCTTTGTGTGAGTTACTAAGACCCATGAGTAGTTTTGCTCCGTCATTGATGTTTCACTGCCTAAGTACTGTACACAATTGTGTCAAGATGATAATTCCACTCTTGGAGCAGGGAATGGTTAAAAGCAAAGGAAAATAGTCAAATAAGAAGTCCAACCAACCAGGGCCAGGGGAACTGAGAAGAGAAAAAGGAACGGATCAGCTGAGAAAGGGGAAAGGGAAAAAAAAAACCAATCAACAGGTGAGGAAAACACTTAGAGATCCCTAATTAAATACTCATGACTTTCCTAAGAGTTCTATTTCTACCAGCATCTTCATCTTTAAATGGATATTCATATGGCAGTGGTATGAATTTCAATAAACCATAAATAGTAATTGCCTTATTGTGTAGGCACACTTGGTAGTGAATTAGTAATCTTTACTTTTCCAATGCTTAATTCATTACTTTTCCCACCAATAAAACCAGCACACACACACACACACACACACACACACACACACACACACACACACAGTTCCTTTAGTAGAACAGTTTCTCCTCAGGTTATAAAGTGTAATAATACCATATCTTACTATGGCTTTACAACATTCAGTTCCTTTTACTCTGTGTTAATGTGTATGTTTAAAGTCAAGGAGACTTTCCCTAAAGTTACACTACATTTTATGAGCGTTTTATTCAAAATCTAAAATGTAATGACTCCATTTGTATTTACTGATGCATTGATTCAGAACCTATTTCCTACCATACTCAGATTTTCTAACAGCAAGGGAGGAAGTGATTTTAAAAGAAAAAAGTATTCAGACCTTACATCAGAGGTTTGTGTTAGGATACTAGGAATACTCTAATTCTAATTAGCATTTAATTACTCTTAATTAGATGCTGACTGTTAACTTAGTTTCTCATGTATAAAATGAATTAAAAGTGTCTGCCTTCCTCAAAATAATTGAGACAAAGCTCTAAAGGTTTTGTAGAAAATATGGCTCAGAACCACTCTTTCTCCTTCCTGATCTGCTCAAAATTTATTGCTAAAATTGCACCAGTTGGAATGTAACTATGACAATCTTCCATGTTGTTTCTAGATTGTTATTCATTGTGCCTTCTACTTCCCCTTAACGGCCAGTACAGTTCGCAATGTAATAATAGGTACCCAGTATTTGTAGTGTTTTCTAATACACAACTTCATTCTGGAAACTAATTGAGAGAATTAGAAATTTCCAAAACAGCATATCAGAAATAGGAAAACATCAGCTTAATCACATCTGTATAAGTAGATTCAAAACTCAGTGAGTCTTTTTTTTTTTTTTTGCCGCTTGATTATTGCAATGATCTAATGATGCTTTCATTTTCAGACTACATTTGGTGACAAAATGTTCCTCCCACACAACTACTTTTATCAATTTCTTGGCACTGAAGTGTGCTCCCGTGAGCTGATGGATCGCCTGTGCAGCAATGCCTTATTCATCATGTGTGGATTCGACAGTAAGAACTTTAACACGGTTTGTATAATTGATATTTCTATTCTGAGTATTTTTAGGAATCTTTGATTTTTTCATCATCACTTAAGATGGTACTTTATAAGAACTCAGAATAACTTCAGAATTTTGCCCATGATATCCTGATAAATCATGAGGCACTGCTCCATTCCAATTTTGTTTGCTGCTCCCTTTCATCACTTCGATTTCCTCTAAAATAAATAAATAGCATGCATAAAAAGCAAAACAAACTCCATACTCACTTATGACCACCTAAATAATTTGCATGGCCTTTAAATTCTGAGAAGGAAGAAAGTGAATCATATATTTGAGCAGGCTTTTCTGTAGGGAAAATGTCTAGGCATAAATGTTCTGATAAATATTTCAGTGCTTCTAGTTATTCCTATATTTTTTTTAAAATATATTTTACAGCAACTATTTATGTAAAACCTTGCTCTTATTCTTGATCTGCATTTTTATTTATTTTGCATTGCATTGGCATTTTAAAACTTATGTGAGAAAGTATAGTTAAATGCATAGAATTGGGTCAACCTGCATTTAAATCACCGTTGGAACTGACTTAAACTTCTATTTCTTGGTTTCCTCATCCACAAAATTTATTATTATTGTGAAGCTCAAATTAGCTAACATATGTAAGATATACAGTACAAAACATATGGCACATAATATCACATAAGTGTTGATATTACTGTTATACATAGTCAGCTATCTTATTAGAAATTGTTTGGCTTATATTTTTAAACACCTAAGAAAATCAAGTTCATTGATAAGGTAGTATAATTCTACAAATCATTGTAGTCATTGGGAACACAGTGGCGAAAAAAGACAGGTATGGCTCCTGGTTTATGCAGATCAAAGAGATTCAGTTGTCATGTTTAATTCTGGGCATCATCTCTATGGATATATATATATACATGTGTATATATCAGAGAAATAATAGCAAAACAGAGATTCAACAAAGACGCTCTTGTCTTCTGCATGATACTTATGAAGAAAGTCTTCAGTCCCCTCTGAATATAGTCACTTTATTTGTCTTTGTACACAGTCTAAGATCCAGTATGATCTGGCCTATGAAATCTGGGAAGGGAACCTCAGTTTGCTAACATTGGTTTAAATAGGTGGATTAGGACCCTTATAGAGTAGCACAATTGAAAATATATGTGATGAACACATATATTATGAACACACATATATATGTATATATAATATATATACTATACCTTAGGTAGTATACATACTATCATATATATTAAAGATCTGCAAAGCAAGAGGCCTGTGTATTAATATTTAATTTACTATACTCTCACACTGGGTAGAGAAGAATAAAAAATGGTGAGAGTTTAGATTCAGAGACTGTAGATTAAAGTCTCTGGTTTACACTATGACTATGTCTCAGATATTGGACATTGCTCTAAACTTCTTTCAATCTCAATTTACACTTTGAGAGATGGAGATAATGAGCTCCCTTCATTTAGTGGCTACAGGTGATACACCACAATGTCATTCATATCCTTTCAGTGAAAGCCGCCCTGAAACACTTTACCTGAATCAGAAAGCTTAGGTCTTCCTGTTTTTTTTTTTTTTTTTTTTCAGAAACTGAATGTGTGAATGTGTTTGTGTGTTTGATTTTTAGAGTCGCTTCGATGTGTATCTAGCACATAATCCAGCAGGAACTTCCGTTCAAGATATCCTCCACTGGGCCCAGGTATCAATACTCCAGACTATTAAATCTTATTTGATAGGTCTGAATCCTTGCATTTTATCTAAAGTATACTCTTAAAACGTTATGTTCCTGGCTGGTAAGTTTTCTGGTATATGGCTACCATATGAAAATACTATCAATCCATATAAATGAAAATCTTATGAAAACAGGTGCTTTAGGTAGCAGAGAAATGAATTATTTTTATGACTGGCTGTGATAGAAAAATATATAAGCAAACTGTATTTAAGTTGCATAAATACCTTTACTAACAATTGATAATTCTTTTGGAATAGGAAAATGATTTTAATAATTAAGTTAAAAATAAACTACTTGGAACTGTTTGAATTTTATTTTTCACATAGTAAGGATGATTATCTTTCTGTGTTTTTAACCTCTCAACAACAGGCTGGTAGGTCTGGGAAATTTCAAGCCTTTGATTGGGGAAGCCCATATCTGAACAATTTGCACTATAATCAGGTAAGCATCTTAAAATTGAAATTATTCACATTTTGAAAGGCAAAGTGTATAAAAAGTTAAACAAGAAATTGTTATATCAGTGTATCTATTTCTCGGAGAAATTTTGATATCTCTCATTGTCTCACATGTCTATGCACTCATGCTCCATTGGCTGTAGTTCATTCAACCCATCCTCAAAGTAGAGCACTCCCACATGTGAGAAGCTTTGCAGAACTCAGCAACACCCTCATTGCACCAGACGTGCTCTGGAACCCAGTCCTCCAGCACACGGTTCTCTCCATTCTGAAGTACACCGAATGATGTAATGAACTAATCATTCTAACCATAGGTGAAATATTGCAGGAATCTCTGGTTTTCTTAGTCAATACTCTCTCCTTTTTTGATAGCCAGAGGACTAATTTCACAGGTACAGATGTCCACATAGAAGAAAAGAACAGTATGTTAGTAGGTGAAGTCTGGACATAGTTTTTAAAATGCAGAGGCCATGTGGCCTAGGCAGACACATTGAATAGTCCTCATGCTTACTGTCATACAGAAAATCCAGACTTTGGAATTCATATTATCAGTAGTAAACATAAGTTTGTGCAATAACTTCTGCATTTTTCTACCCAGGCTTAGGGTGTTATTGACTGGATTTAGTAGGATAATATCTAAAACCTTTTACTTAGCTCAGCATAAACTCTCAGTGTATCACCTGCTAATTTTAAATAAGAGAAATATCCTACATTATTTTGTAACTTTCTCTTCTTCTTTTTTTCTCAATTTTTCCCTCAAGTAGTAGGTGAACAATTCTACTAATTTTATTCTGTTTCCATGATTCCAAAATTTAGAAGGAATTTATATGTTTGCACAATAATATGCTATTCAGAGGAGCTCCCCTTCCCCTTTATTTCACATGTATTATGTCTTTAAAGAGGTTTTCAGACACTATCAGATCAAACTTTGTTGAAATCACATTTTCTCTGCCCATAACCTTGTTAAACCCCAGAAGCACATGCTTGGTTTGAATGAACCTCTCTACTGTACTAATGCTGTTAACCAGAAGACTTCACCTTAGAAGGCCAAGCAAGATCTGGAACACCCAATCCCCAAGTCCACCCTCCTTCCATCCAAGTCAGTATCACTTCAGATCTGAAGTGATATTGAAGTAGTGCTACCTAGCTATCCTTATCTCAACCAGCAAAACCCTTGTTCCTTCCTATTATGGCTTATACTCTCTCTACAACAAAATTAGAGATAAGGGCAAAATAGTTTCTGCTGGGTATTGAGTGGGGGGGAGAGGGAGGGGGTGGAGTGGGTGGTAAGGGAGGGGGTGGGGGCAGGGGGGAGAAATGACCCAAGCCTTGTATGCACAAATGAATAATAAAATAAAAAAATAAATTAATTAAAAAAAAAAGTAGTGCTACCAACTTAAGAGCCAATTTAGCATCTAGGAAACTTTGAACAATGGAGTATAAGCAAAAGAAAATGGATTTACAATTATATGTAATCCTCACACTGCCCTTTTTTCTTTAATATCTAGGCCTATCTAATAGAAAGTATTATAGCAGTAGGCATATTGTATATGATAAAATGTTTTGTTATGGCAAGTTAGCTCTTTTACAAGATGAGAATAGAGAATCTTTTAATATATTGAATTAGTATTATTGAATGTCTGACCTAAAAGAAAAACTAACAAAATTCTCTCTAGAGTGTGAGAAAAATTAGAGGTGATTCACATGTTCTTCCTGCTTTTCAAATCTCCATAAAATCTATGAGTTAATGGTGATTTTCTAGAAATGGAAAATGCCACTAATGATACATTTAGAAGAACTGAAGTTATATTTAGTAAAAGTACGTAACTATTCAAAAATATAACTGTATAGCTGCTTAACAGAACCAGTTAAGGACCTACTAACTGACCACACTGGGAAGTCAATACAAAGTCAAATTAAATCACTCAGGACATTTTTAATATATCATTCTTCAGAGTAGTAGAGACAGTCTACAATGGTTAGAATCTACTGAAATCTCCTTGGTTCTATCTGAGCTTAAATCTAATTTTTATTATTTTTTTCTTTTTGGTAGTGCTGGGATTTGAACTCAGGGCCTCACACTTGCTAGGCAGGCACTCTTACTGCTTACGCCACTCCACCAGCTCATCTAATTTTTAATTGATAAGAATTGTCATATAAACTCTTGCGATTAAGATCATGGTTTAGAATCAGCAGCATCAGCATTAGCTATGAATGCAGAAACTCAGGCTCTTCCCCCACATCTACTGAATTAGCTTTCATTTTAACAACATCCCCGGGTGATTCACAGTTTCACTAAAGTTTAAGAAGCACTGAACCAAAACACATTGCATTCATTTTGCTTTGCAGGTAAAGGTCACTTGGAACAATCATCCTTGGAATTTTTAAAAACTTTTTAGCATATTATAGTTGTACTGGGAGTATATTGTGACATATACAAAATTGCTTAAAATATATCTTAGATTCATCCCCTCCATCTTTCTCCTTTATTCTCCCTCCCCCGCTTCTTAGAATAGCTTCAACAGCTTTCATTGTTCCATTTTCACACATGAATGCATAGTAGTACTTGTAAATATTTGCCCTCCTTCACCCTTTCCTTATGCCTTCCCCTCTCCCACTGGTACAAACCTCCAGACAGGACATGTTTTACCTTTCTGTCTTTCATTTTTTTAAAAAAGAGTTTTGTCTAACTGAGATATATTATATGCACAAATGTAAATATCACAATGTACTCCCTGTAACTATTATATGCTAATAAAATTAAAAAGTCATTTTTGTTTGTTTATGATGGTTATATAGGGAGTTTCATTGAGATATATATATTATATATATATATTTAAAAATGAAGTCACTTAATGCTTCACAATCATGCAAATAATAAATACTGGGTTTAAAGTATGTTTATCTAAACTCTGCTTCTTTCTCTTTTTTCTTGTGTTTTTTAGAGCATACCTCCCTACTACAATGTGACAGCCATGGATGTGCCAATTGCAGTGTGGAATGGTGGCCAAGATTCGTTGGCTGACCCCAAAGATGTTAACATGTTACTTCCCAAACTGACTAATCTCATTTACCACAAGGAAGTTCTTCCTTACAATCACTTGGACTTTATCTGGGCAATGAATGCCCCACAAGAAGTTTATGATGAAATTGTTTCTATGCTGGCAGAAAAAAATATGTAGCTTCAGATTTTAAAAATTAGCTGCTTATTTTTCCAAAATACTTTCTACTCTCATATTCAGTTTTCTGCAATGTTTAAAATGAAATGTTTCTTTCTACAATTTTGACTTTAGAAATATATTAGCATCAAAAATTTCCCATTTCTATTTTGATTTTTTATTTATTTTTTACTCGCATGTAATAGTTGTAAAGGGGAGAATACATTGTGGTGTTTTCATATGCGCTTGCAAAATATCTTAATTACATTTACCCCCTCCTTTATCTTCTTCTACCCTGTCTTAGAGAAATTACAAAAAAATTTTCATTGTTCTATTTTTTTACAAATGCATCCACCATATTCACTGTCCTATCCTCTCTGCTCAGCCTACCCCCACTGGTACCCACCCCTGAACAGGATCTGTTTTACTTTCCTGTCCTTTATCTTTTAAGGATATGATAATTGTCCAAGGAAGTTTTGATATTTCAGACATGTATATATCATGCTTTAATATACACCAAACATCAGTGCCCCCAAGATCATAAAACAAACACTTCTGAGCATAAAGGCACAGAGAGGTTCAGATACAATAATAGTAAGAGATCTCAACATTCCACACTCATCACCAAACAGAACATCCAGACAAAAAATTAACAAAGATATCCTAGAACTAAACAATACCATGGGTGAAATGGACTTAACAGACATGTATAGAGTATTCCATCTCACAACAACAGATTATAAGTATTTAAATTTAAAGAAATTCAACTTTTCATTTGGAAATTTATCTAGAATCACTTGAGAGAATGAATTCCTCGGGATATAAAATTTCTCTTTGGATCTTCTCAAAATTTTCTTCTAGACTCAATTTAAATTAGGGGCCATCAATACTGTGCTGGTGTTGAATGTTGATTTTTATTATATATGCTTCCTCCTGAGTAAATTGCTTTCAATTTCCATTGACAATTGTTACTGTCATGAAACTCAATCTCTCCACCTGCATGGTGGAGGTGTCACTTGCTCTTTTGCTTCTTAATCCCTTGAGAAGACAAAATGAGATACAAACTATATTGAGCATAGGTTGGGAGGCAAGAGAAAACTCCAACCTTGATTCAGAAAGTTGGGAAGTAAGCAGTGTGCTCTACCATTACTGTCATCATTCTGCCTTCATTTCCTTGGACCTCAACCACAAAATAGTCACTTAACTAATTCAAACTGTTTTTGAAATCACTGCTGCTGTCCTAGTAAGCAGAGGATCCAGAAACATCTCCACTGATATATATAAACCAGAACACACAACTAAAGGAAAAAGGCTCCAAACTTCCAAAAATTCCAGAAAACACAGTCTTACCTCAGAGATTTTATTAACACACTCAATATTGTGACCTCATATTTAAGCATTTAAGCTTTGATTCTTATGATAGGGTAGCATACAAAATACAAATGAGATAAGGAAAGTGTCCCCCCCAGTGTAATGTACAGAACATAGAAAGTATTCGCAAAAATCCATTAAGTTTTATTATGTTGTCACCTTTGCTAGGAAAGGTGCTTTAAACTCTCTCCTTTATGTTTAAGCTGGAAAACAAAATTTGCTAAGAGATTATTTAGGGACCTTTAATATTTCAGTGAACATTGTTGTCAGCTTCCACTAAAGTGGCATGCAGATCTCAGTGACTAGTTAGTGACAAATATTTGTAATTGCATAACCAATTAAGGACTCAGACGTTTCTTGTGCTTTTCCACCCAACCTCCTTTTTCTTTTGGTCTGTATTCACCAAATATGGGCAGTTTGGCTTTGCTCTTAGAACACAAGTAAATGCCATTTTATTTGCTGGCACAGAAGTTCTGCTAAAATCTCTTATTTGTTAATCTGAATGGTGAACACATCAGTTTATTTCCATCTGCCTTCCATAATCATCCCTTGTGTAACTTACAAGCACACAAAGATTAATAATTTCAACCCCAAAATCATCATTCCCACTTTTCAGAGCTGATAGATGACAAGCAAATGAAGTTCTTCCAGGCACCAAGATTTTGTAGTCAGCTTCATACACTAATTCTCCTTTTTAGTAGAAAGCTTTAACTATTTTCAATGTTAGAAAGGGTAGTTTAATAAACCCTTACATTCATTAATCATTTTCAGGTATTATCATAGGTGAAATAGCCAATGATATTTCACTATGAAACAAACCTAAAACATAACGTAGTTAATCCATGCATATTTCAGTATGGATTTCTAAAATATAAGCTCTCTTTTTTGACATAATACAACAATATCATATCCAAAACTTCCCTAATATTAAACTTTCAGTCATTTTTCAAATACTCAATTGCCTCATAAATATCAGTATTCTTAAATTGGAACACAAGTAAGGTCCATATCTTCTATTGATTGGTTTGTCTGTTGTCTCTTTTAGATATATAGCTCTCTTTTCTCTTTCTCTATTTCTCTCCCACCCCCCTACATTTTTGTTGTTGTTTTGAAGAAATTATACCTTTCATGTTGTAGTTTCATATCATTGAGATTTGCTGATTGTCGTCCTTTATAGTCACCTATCATTCTCTTCTTGGAACTCAAGAGTTTCTTAGCTTCAACATTCTTAACATTTTAGACCACACAATTTTTTCTTGTGTGGCTGTTCTGGGTAGTGGGTATTGTGGGATGGTTAGCCGCACCTCTGAACTCTACCTTCAAAAATGCCAGTTAGCACTCACATATGATCAACAAGTATGTCCCCTAACATTGCCCATATGGCTTGAGGGACAAAATTGCCCAGTCTTCCCAGTTAAGAACCACACAGTTGTTTTTTTTTTTAATTTCTTCATAAGGAGGCTAACAAAAACTAGCTGGCTGTTTTTTAGGTTTTAAGAATCTATTGCTTTATAATACCCAGATTCAATAGTTCATTAGGAGTTAGAAAATGGTGACATAGAGTGGTGAATATAGCTAAGAATAGTTATTAATAGCTAATTAGTATTTTATGTTTCAAAGTTGCCAGCAGAGTAAATTTCAAATATTTTCATCATAAAATAAGTGTTTGAGAGAAAAGTAAGTTAACTAGCTTGACTTAAATATTTCATATTGTATTCCTTCACTTGATCTAACACATTTTCAAAAAGAAGATAAGGATCCACTTGTCAGAATAAATATTTCTGGACCATATTTCTCCCCTCAGCAGGAGTCTACATCTCTTATTCAAAATACTCTTGCTGCTGTATAAGCTTGATGTGAATAGTTCTGTTATATTGACAATTTAAACATTTCTAGAGCTATCCAAGGGTGGAAATGAGAACGATGCTGAAAATTTTATGACATAATATGCAACACACTGCTGGATAGCTGAGTTCCTAGGTATTATATGAAGACAAATCTTAACTATAATCTGTACCAGTTTATCCTGAGAAGAAACAAGGAAGGAGACAGATGACATAATCAGAGAAAAAACTCTGCTTCCAATGTTAGTATAGAAGTTGTCTTTAATCGTTTTTTATTGTATTTCAGTATCTGCTTTATTTGGAATTGTGGTTTGTTACAACTATTTGCTTTCTCTTCTCTGAGTGGTACTGAGAATTTGTAACCATTGTAACCATTATAATGGCCCTGTGCCTAATGGTGACAGCAATGACATTCCAGACTACAGCCACGACATATACTGATCAAAGCACAGATGTCAGGTATTGCTAATACAGTGCTGACTGTCTTTTTCTTTATTTCATTTTTTTCATCTACTGTCACATATTATTATATCACATATTAGTTTATTCAGCAGTAAAAGACTTTGGAAGACAAAATTTAGTTTAAGTGAACAAGTCCTTCAAATTATATACACAGGTCCAGAAATATATGTCATTAATAAGGAAATATGCATTGTGTAATATCAGAGCTACTGCAAATCTAGCAGTGTTTTGTTTTTTATGAATATAAAATTTAACTTTAATAAAATTAATTTCATAAGTGGCCAGATAGGGAAATGCAACCAATAGTTCTGTGACAAAAAAAAAAAAACTTAGTTATTTAAAGTGGCATTTTCCTCTCTATAATCTATTTTAACCAGAAAATTTTGTAAGAACTATGCAGTTACCTACATTCACCACTAGAGGGTAAGGTAGATTAAGAGACTAATTTTTCTCCGTCCAGGAGCACTTAGTCTATTTAATCAATAGATGGTTATTGTGCTTATTTTACTGAGTATGTTAACCTCAACATGGAAAATTATGGAGCCTACATGGTGGTGTATGAAAGCATTGAAACTTACAGAGAGAGTCATTGGTTCCCTCAGTGCTTCCTCTCCAATACAGAGCTCAGTGTTCTGTTTCTTCCACTCTTACATGTACTTGTAAGACACAGCAAGGCTTGGAAGTTTTCTGCTCTTGGGAGAACAAACAAGGGAGCCTCTGGAGTGAGTGGGAACCCACCCAGTCCACAGGCCACAAAGCTCATTGGGACCAGCAGTGACTTCCAGTTTGGAAAAAAAAGAAACTTTAAAAGTGAATGCAGACCTGAGACTGACAACATAACCTGAACAGCCCAGCTCTTAGACTGCATTCAGCACCAATATGTGCAGTGGGAACACAGAGGAACAGCAGTGGACTCCACAAATGACTGCTAACTCTCACTAAGACCTGGCAGATTCCGATATTAAAGGACCTGAAAAGAAGCTTCTCCAAGTTTTATTTTTTCACTTTTTCATTTACTATTTTAGTACTGATTTTATTTTACTTTAAAAAATCTTTTATGCATTTCTTTCTTTTTCTTCTTTATAATTTTATTGATGTATTTTTCTCTACTTTGTAATCAGAATTTTAATCTCTTACTCATTTTATTTTTCTTTTCTTTAACCTAATCTTGTTTTACTTTCCCTACACCTTCCATAATTTCATTCTTGTTTTACTTTCCCTGCACCTTCCATAATTTCATTCTTTTTAAAAATCATCTTTACATTCATTTTAACTTTCCACTTTATTCAACATCATTTTTGCCCCTTTTCTATGACTATTGGTAGTATAGAAGTTTTTTAAATTGTT